GAATTTGGTAAAGTTGCAGGATACAAAATTAATGCACAGAAATCTCTTGCATTCCTATACACTAATGATGAAAAATCTGAAAGAGATATTAAGGAAAGACTCCCGTTTACCACTGCAACAAAAAGAATAAAATCCCTGGAATAAACCTATCTAGGGATACAAAAGACCTGTATGCAGAAAACTATAAGACACTGATGAAAGAAATTAAAGATGTTACAAACAGATGGAGAGATATACCATGTTCTTGGATTGGAAGAATCAGTATTGTGAAAATGACTGTACTACCCAAAGCAATCTACAGATTCAATGCAATCAAATTACCAATGGCATTTTTTACAGAACTAGAACAAAAAATCTTAAAATTTGTATGGAGACACGGAAGACCCTGAATAACCAAAGCAGTCTTGAGGTAAAAAAACAGAGCTGGAAGAATCAGACTCCCTGACTTCAGACTATAGTACAAAGCTACAGTAATCAAGACCATATGGTACTGGCACAAAAACAGAAATACAGATCAATGGAACAGGATTGACAGCCCAGAGATAAACCCATGCACCTATGGTCAACTAATCTATGACAAAGGAGGCAAGGATATACAATGGAGAAAAGACAGCCTCTTCATTAAGTGGTGCTAAGAAAATTGAACAGCTACATGTAAAAGAATGAAATTAGAACACTCCCTCACACCATACACAAAAATAAACTCAGAATGGGTTAGAGACCTAAATGTAAGAGTGGACACTATAAAACTCTTAGAGGAAAACATAGGAAGAACACTCTTTGACATAAATCACAGCAAGATCTTTTTTGATCCACCTCCTAGAGTAATGGAAATAAAAATAAACAAATGGGACCTAGTGAAACTTAAAAGCTTTTGCAAACCAAAGGAAACTACAAACAAGACGAAAAGACAACCCTCAGAATGGGAGAAAATATTTGCAAACAAATCAGTGGACAAAGGATGAATCTCCAAAATATATAAACAGCTCATGCAGCTCAATATTAAAAAAACAAACAACCCAATTCAAAAATGGGCAGAAGACCTAAATAGACATTTCTCCAAAGAAGACATACAGATGGCCAAGAAGCACATGAAAAGCTGCTCAACATCACTAATTATTAGAGAAATGCAAATCAAAACTACAATGAGGTATCACCTCACACCAGTTAGAATGGGCATCATCAGAAAATCTACAATCAACAAATGCTGGAGAGGGTGTGGAGAAAAGGGAACCCTCTTGCACTGTTGGTGGGAATGTAAATTGATACAGCTACTATGGAGAACAGTATGGAGGTTCCTTAAAAAACTAAAAATAGAATTAGCATATGACCCAGCAATCCCCCTACTGGGCGTATATCCAGAGAAAAGCATAATTCAAAAAGACACATGCAACCCAATGTTCATTGCAGCACTATTTACAATAGGCAGTTCATGGAAGCAACCTAAATGCCCATCGACAGACGAATGGAAAAAGAAGATGTGGTACATATATACAGTGGAATATTACTCAGCCTTAAAAAGGAACGATGTTGGGTCATTTGTAGAGACGTGGATGGATCTAGAGACTGTTATAGAGAGTGAAGTAAGTCAGAAAGAGAAAAACAAATATTGTATATTAACACATATATGTAGAAGCTAGAAAAGTCATACGGATGAACCGGTTTGCAGGGCAGAAGTAGAGACACAGATGTAGAGAACAAACATATGGACACCAGGAGGGGAAAGTGGCAGGGCGTTGGTGGTGGTGTGATGAATTGAGAGATTGGGATTGACATATATACATTATTATGTATAACATGGATAACTAATAAGAAACTGCTGTATAAAAAAATAAAATAAAATGCAAAAATTCAAAAAAAAATTATATATACCTGCTATTTTCAGGCATTGGACAATAGGCAGCCAAAGACAGTGATGGTCACCATTCTCCCTGAAGAAAAAGAAGGCTCAGAAGAAGTATCATACAAGGCAAAAAGGTTTAAAAAAAAAAAAAAGAAAAAGAAAAATTTCTCTCCTTACTGAACCTGAAAGATATACAATTTTTAGACTAATTTAGTGTAAACAAGTAAATGTGAACTAGTAAACTAAATTAGGACAATCAGAATGGACAGAATCATTTTTCTAAAATTGTCTTTTCTAAAACTGATTTTCTTTGGCTGTATACTAAGATTTGTAAACTCCAGCTTAGTTCATTTGAAGATACTTGAAATATTATACTAACTTTTAAGAAGCAGGTCAATATCTTTAAAAGAATTATTTATGTAAGAAACAGTCAGTGGTATTGTAAAAGCAAATGGTTCTTAAGAAACACATGTTTAGAATAAAAGTAAATACTATTCTCCCTTATATTCTGAGTCAGAGATAAAATGCCCTTAACCTTAAGAGTGATACTGTGAATAAAACTGTTCATCATAAGTTTCAACAGTGGGAAATGAAGAGTCTACATTGAAACTTTGAGAATATAATTGTGAGTGAAGTTTAGGCCCAAATAAGAAGTTTGATATATTTGATTTATTCTCTTCTTAGATATGATAGAGACAAAGTATAATGATAATAGAAACCATTTCTTTCTTTTTCCTGGATATGGCCTTTATAAATTTCCACAGATAAGATTATAGGTCATTGCCTCCTAAAATGTCAAAAGTAGCTCCTCTTTTCTCTATGGCTTAGGCCTTCATTATTTCAGGTAATAGGAGTTTGGGGGGAACTATTACAAAAATAGTTACGTTTATTTATGTTCATCTGTTTGTTCAAAGATCCAGACTACTTTTTTTTTTTTTTCCAAATTTACCTCCATTCTCTCCTAAGGCAGGTAGAGGATACATTTTTACCTTTCTTACTAGGAGGGAGTTATTTAACCTCTTGGTGCTACTCTTTTAATTATTTATGTAGAGATCATTTCCATCCTGAAAGGGGTGGATGACTTAGATTACTGTTCTTAAAGTTTTATATTACAGAGAACTTTTAGAAGACTTATTAGCTTTACTGATGCTATTATTTGATATTCCCTTATTTTTTAGAATTTTACCTTTCTTAATTCCACCATTTTGTTTCTCAGTGTGCAAGCAGTAACAGTAGTTATGGTCATGAGGAAATGAGGAAAGAGTATGAGAATTTTCAGTCCTTATGAAGACATTAGAATTTTGCTCTTCAAATTCTCAGTAGCACAGAGAAAGCTTCCCTTGGTATCATCCCCTTGACCCCAGTCTTAGGAGTTGGATTACTGAGGCAAAGCAGAAAGCATGTACATTTAAGCCCGTATCTATTCCAGTTTTGCTGGATCAATTGATATGCCCATAGTAATCATCTGGAGAGAGAAATTATTCCTCATCTGTGAAAAGGGGATAATAATAATGGCTTCCTCATAACGTCACACATGTAAATTCCTTAGCCTTGCACATACTAAGAATTTAATGCTAGTCATTATTATTGAAATTTGTTAAAAATGCCTGTATTGGAGCCATAAGAATTAGAGACTATGATTAATTGTTACCGAATTGGTTGCCTGGACCTGCACCAGGGTCCTAGCCTAGGCCGAGGGGTCTCAACCGGAGAGGTTCTTTTTCCACTCAGATTCACACAGCCAATAATGAAACTGGCCAAAGAATGGAGGAGTGTGGGAATTTAGTTCGCAAATCAACTTCTCAACCTGATTCGGGCTGAGACACCATATATATATAGAAGGGTCCAGGTAAAAGGGAAAGAATTGAGTAAAGAGAAGGTGTATTCATAAGATATCTGAGAACAAGGCTGTGGTTTGGACCCAGAACTGAGGCAACACCCCTTTTCAGTCCTTGTATGGACTTTTCCAGTTGTCATGGCAATTGTCAACTGTCATGGTGCTCATGGTTGTGTCATTTAGCATGCTAATGCATTACAGTGAATGTACAGTGAGGCTCAAGGTCCACTGGAGATCAGGTTTTCTGCCATCTTGGGCCTAGTTGGCTCTAACCAGTTCTTGTTTTTCTGTTTGCAGCTTCCTCCTTTTGTAATTGAGCATGAAACTCAGATAAGGGCAGTTAGTTTCCATTTGAGGGAGGGGAGGAGGTATGATTCCCGGGCAACTGCCTTGGTAACATAATTCCTGACATATTTTGCCAAAGTATTTAAGATGTTACAAATACTATTCTTAATTCTGATAGAGGTTACTAATAAAATCTCATTGTGAGAAGTCTTTGCCCTCTACCCCCAAAGTAAGATGACTTGGTCTTTTAGAATTACCGAAATTGGAAAAAAAAAAAAAAAAAAAAAAGCAACTTAGAGCCATCCCATTACTCTACAGTGATAACCAGTGCGTAAATTGTAAAATATTTAACGGAATTAGAGATCTTTTGTACCATACATAGTTCTTATTCTACATGTACAAACAGAAAAAAAAGTTATGCCAGAAAAAGTATTTTGTAGGATTTCAAAAACTAATCTCACTTGTGGAATAAAATATGCCATTTTATGTATCAATTACTATCTATACACTAAAAACATGTGTAGGTAGTATAGTATTTCATTAACTATCTCTAAGTGCTTACTTTTAAAATTGGAGAAAATTTGGTTGATTTTACTACTTTTATCTAACAAAACCTTCTTTTAAGAGAATTTTGGAGTGAAGTCTTTCTGGTCAACTTTTATTTCCATTTACCTTATTGACAATTGGGCAGGAATGGGACTTGTGAACCAGTTTCTGATGTAAAAGAATCTTATTTGTGTGGGTATTTTGTTTTCTGAGCTCTCTAAGCAGGTATGCAACTGGATGTGATTTGTACATACTTCATGTAAGTTAATTTGCATACTCACCTTTCCTGATCTTTCAGTTTTCTTTTTAAAGAAAAGATTCCTGATAAAAGGGTTGGTAATAACTTTAGCCTTTGTGCATACATTATTTCTACATTTCTTCTGTTTTGCCCTGATGATTACACACTCCTACCTTCATCAACTAAAAACGTTATTCAATCAGAAGGTAGTTATGGCACTATTAAGTTTCATCTCTTTTTTGGTTTACTAGATACCTGTGGAGGGAGGACAGGAGCAGCAGACAGATTCCACCAAAGGGCGATGCCTGAGGAGAACTGTCAGTGTCCCTTCCGAGGGTCAGTTTCCTGAGTACCCACCAGAGGGCGCTGCTAAACTGGGTAAGCTGTAAAAGGAAAGAAATTCCTAGTTTTTATATGGTAATTTATGGACTTGTTATTGAGTGTTACAATAAAACAAAACATCCTTCATTTACTGTTAAGTAAGTACTTTAAAATATAGTATGTTAACCAAGAATTAGAGATCATTAGAAAGTTTTATTCTTTATAACCAAGTGGCAGCAAAGTTATTTTACAGAGAGAAAATTTATCTGAGTGCTAGTTGGTTGCTGTAAACTCCTGAGCAAGCTGGATGATATGTTGTTTCTGATTTTACTGCTTGGCTTTAAATTTTGAAAGAACATTAGGTGATCTTATTGAGGCACTGAGATTCACTAGGGAGCCAGTTTTGGTTGGAAACTTAGTATTAAATGGTTGGTGCCCTGTTCACACAGCTCCTGGTGTTGTCTTGTATAATGTAATGTCAGATTAGGCTAGTTTAGCTGAGCTAATTTTATATGGCCCATGTAAATTATATTCAGGACTGTGGTTGGAGTGGGTGACAGAAGGGATACATCAGAAAACCCCACTTGAGTTGTTATATACTAAAGGAATTAATGTCAATATCAAA